ATGTACTTGTTGTAAACATATTGAACGGTAAATCCAAAATCTTTCGTTCATTTTCGTTGTTTTTCAACATATTTTGTTGCGAATCAGGTTGACAATTGAATAGTTGAAGTGATGTTGGAAAAAGAATATCATCATAGAAACGGACAGCCGTTTGTGCGGCTTCAAGTGAAATTTTTAACGACTTTTTGGGTGCTTCAGGAATACTTGTAATTCGTACTTCATCATATTCTTTTATATCATCACCACTGGAGTAATCTATTATACTATCATTGACAGTACCGGCGTCATCATTCTTATAAAATGTTGTACAAATTTTTTCTTTAAATTGTTCATATACAACTCTTTTAATTGTACTAAATTGAATATCTTTAATATCTTTCAATATTGTTTCAATGTCAAATAATGTTTGAAACATCATTGCTAGACGTTCAATTAAATCAGCCGAACGTCTTTCAACAGCTAAATCACGTCGATTATAAAACGATGGTTTTGATTTAATTTCAATCGGTGTTTCATTCATTCGTAAACCATCTGTTATTGGTTTTAAATAATGATAAGCATCATCGTTTAACTGATATAAACGGAAACCAATTAATATGCGAATAATATAAAGATATTCCATTGATGCTAATGAATTATTAAGTGCTACTGTTTCAGTAACAAAATTATCCTTGCTAATGCACCAATACATTAATCTTTCATACAATCCTATAGCAATACACAAAATACAAATCAATGAAATTCTTGAATGTGTCTCAGCCACTCAGACAATACTGTGGATAAAATGTTTGTCAGCCAAAATTCGAAGTATGAGTTGCTTACTAACAGCAGAGGGAGTACAACGCAAAAGGTAAACAAGATTTTTGAAACAGGGAAACCATTCAGTAACTTGTTAACGATTATTAGTTTTAGAATCGGGTACAAAGTTTATCATTAAATTTATCTAAAATAAACAAATGAACTATCCGGAGAAGCAAAAGAACTCCAGTGGTCCATTTATGGTTAGAACTCCCAAATCAACTTTCTTGGATCATTCTTGGCGCGAAGCAATCGCCAATAAATTCCGACTGACGCGGCACGATCGTGATAGACGGTTATATTTCGAAAAGTTCATGACTTTCACCGACATTTTTATCAGTTATTTTATTTTCGATATTTAAGAAAGATGTGTTTACCATTTGTTGAACATTCGTCACCAAAACTTTCCAATAATTGCCACCATTTATTACCAGTAGTAGGAGCTAACATCGACAATGATCTATCACGTATCACCTTTGCATACATCATTGTTCCTCGTAATAACAAATAAATACCGTTGAATCCCGAAATAACAATCGTTTGATTATGTTGAGCCTCTTTCGACTGTGGATCAAAAAAATCAATATTATTTAATGGTGTTTCCTCATCAGACGAAATAAACTTGCTCGACGTTTCCAGATCACTTATTAGTTTAGCTGTTGATAAACTTTCTATCATGGTTGTTTTAAATTTACCATCTGTATCATCAATAAACATTTCACGAAAATACCGCTCAATAAAAAGACAAGCTTCTCGTATACGTTTCATATAGCCAGATTTATTACAAACTAAATCAAAAGACACAAACACGAACTAGAGAAAAATAATGAGAAAGAAAAATGTTTACATACCTCTGCTACAACCGTTCTCAGACACAAAGATCTCCGCAAAACTCCTTTATCCATCCTGAATGCGTTCAAAAATCTTCAGTAAATCCGCAAGAAACTCAAAGAAATGTTTTTGAATCCTTCGTTTTTAAAGGTCGAGTCTTTAGGACTTGTTAAGATGTACATCAAACTTGCACAACGTTAACAATACAGTTCATAGGGAAAAAACGCCACCGTTAGATCTCTACTATCATTTTTGAAAAAACATTAATATGATTTCTGCTGAACCTAAATTTTGCTTAATAGTCTTCAGTAGCATAAACCAGCTCAAAAATGCTCTATTTTTACCTTTTAGAGCCTAAACAGTAAGAAGTTGTGAATTAAGCGTTATAACGAGTACTTCACTTACCAGATTCGCCACGTATTATTGCCAAAAATTTTACTGTTGTATATTCATGTGTATCACGGTTATATAATTTACTTTCAAGAGCCCAATGTGGTAAACTCATCATAAAAACATAAAACAACGTCAGTTCATCAAATTTGGCTGCACGATAATTCTTAAATATTGACAGTAATAATGGATGATTACCTAAATATTCCTCCAGTGTATGTTTTGTTGTTAACTGTGCACATAATTTAAAATTGCGAGCATCAATTGAATTCAATTCTTTAAGCCTTTCATCACCACCTCTTCTCACCATTATTGATCAATTGAAATTAGTGAGTTTCTAATAAGAAAAAATGTGATGAAAATTTCTGAAGCTAAAAGTTTCTTTAGAAGAAGTAGAATATAAAAATCAAGAATATTCAAAAAGATTATCATCATAGACCTTCGGTTTAAGGTGTAACTACTCGGTCTGACCTGGTCGCAACACACTGTTAATATATAATGACACTTCGCTGAGAAATCGATCGCAGTAAAAAACTATTATCTTTAACTTTTTCTCATCAGTCCTCTTCTAGAACGCTTGTCCCCATAGTTTCATACAGTCACTGCTTAAGCCCATACATGTCCGTACGCTTGCTTACCTCCGCAAACGTTAGGGAGGGATACATTTTTAAGATATCCAGCAATTATTCGCCTATACAATTTCACTCCTCGTTCTCCCTTAGAGAGAGGAAGAAGGAGGAGGAGTTACAGAAAAAATTTCATCCCTGACGTGTTTGCAAAAAAGTAAAAGATAACATACGCAGAAGGGAACATCGTTCTTTCAACTCCTGAAAAGCTTATATTCTGAGAATGAGATGAAAGCAATTTTTTGCGTATGTCGATGAAATGAGATGCTCATTATGAAGTTAATAACTCGCCATAAACTTATTATATGGATAGAAGTTTCTGAGCTTAATTTCGACCTGAATGTATTTGTCATAAAAAAGTTAGAATGAACGTCT